TTATTATTATTATTATTATTATTATTATTATTGCTGTGTGCGTTAAACATTTCTGTGTTCACAGAAGATGAAACTATTGAATGTAAATGTTTAGCGCCAGTCTTACTGAAAACGGTTTGCTGCGCATAAGTGTGAGCTCTGTGAGCTGTGCCTTTGGATTATCACACTAACGATGTGTTTTGTAGAGAGCAGCACAAATGTGTCCGTTCTTGAACCAGTTAACAATCCAACCAGTCGCAGTTTTATTGCTTGTTTGCCCAAACTCGTCAGATTTTAAAAATCACCGTGAATTCGGAACTCTCAGATAACAATAACACATCTTTAAAATACACACATGTGTGTTAGTCGATGAATGGGTGAGGGGAGCATCCTCCTTGCCGTGGAATTGCGCAGTGGCCGCTGGAAGCTGACGCGCTTTGACCTGAAAGTGTGATTGAGTGAATGAAAGAAGAAAGCGCTCTAATGCTGTGACATAAATATGCAAATGAATGCTAATGAGGCGCACTGTACACCCACAGACAGCTGAAGGTGTTTAAAGCGCACGCGGGCGTGCAACAGTGTGGTGGGAAAGCAGTGAATACTCTCTGTGCTGCCAGGTGCTGTCGGGACAGATTTTCCCGTGGTAGCGGCATCCCAGGAACATGTGTCCCCACGGCCTTCGCTGCGGCCGCCCCCTCTGCCGACACGCTGGCGTATATATGAAGCATGAGTGGCTAAAAGCTGCCGCACACAGGCTGAGGAGGACCCGCTGCACCTGCAGCAGAGCAGGTATGCTTGTTTCTTCTTCAGCTGCACAACTCGTCTTTCCTTCGTTTTTCCTCTTTTAATGACAGTTACGTTGTTTCTCTCAGCCTCTGTTTAGGCGATTTTCCACTTCCTCTGTGCCTCCGACAGCAGCATGTAATCCTGCTGCAGCCATTAGAAAGTCAAATGTTAGAGAGTTAATGCAACTTCACCTCCTTGTAAAGAGCTGCAGGTCCGTTCAGACGTTGTAGTGTCGCACTCGCGCTTTTTAGTGTCGCAACGCAAAGCGCGTCTCAGCGTCGTTTGGTGCGGTCGCGGCCAGGCTTAAATCCTCCCAGCTATCTTGTCATTCCGACTACAGGCGCGGAAAGTTTGATTTCCTTTAGTTCTGCGCAGGCCTGAACTTTCTGAGCCACAGATAGCGATTTGGTTGAGAAAGGATCTGCCAACTGAGCGCAGGCACGCGGCGCGCTCTTACATCCTGCTGCAGTACAAACGAGTGCGAGTCGTCCGAGGTAGAAGCGAGCTGTCTGACAAACTGATTTCTAAGAATAGCACAGAATTCACAGAATTCAGAAAATAACCAGATGCTTTCCAGAGTTCCAACATTTAAATCAGTCACAAAAATCTGATTTTCTGGGACGAAAGCCATAAAGCTGCAAGGACGGTTCACTAAAACTTTTGAACGTGTTCATCACTGCTGAGATAGGTCGCCATAAACAACAGATCCATATTTCTATTGTACGTTAACTCATACTTTTAGTTATGATTTGATAGCTCGTTTTCTTTGCATCTGTAAGTGGATTGTTGAAGGTTTGCAGGGTAATTCTAATGAACACAGTCTCTGCTGTAATAGATGGCACAATGCTACAGAGCACTGTTAGCAGTTTTCGCCAGGACATTTATGAGTGAGCCGTTATCCTCCTGGCTTTGCGTCTGCTAAGATCATGCAATGGCTTCATGCATCGGACACTTGCACTGTTACGCACGGGTGACTTTGAATATTTATTTCATGGCACCGAAGGTTGAAAGTGAATTAACAATTAATAAAGAAGTCTGCTGCCAGTTTATGGCGCTGTTTTAAAAAGACACCAGTGCGGAGCTTTAGTTTACCAGCACCGACCGACACAGAGTAATGGGTCCAATACGCTGTATTTTTTTCACATCCGATTTGAACCCGCATGTGAGCGCCAAAGAAGAACCACAGATCGGCTTGATCTGCAGATTATCTCGCTCGGGGAATGAAGCCCCAGGATTCATTCTAATACACCGGATTATGAGCTTTTGTGCTTTCAGCATGGCATCAGAGTGCCGGCTGTGGAGCTTTTCCACTGGTATAGATTCGCCAAGGTGGCCGATCAGCGCGCAAGGTAAGTCAAAGGTGCTCAGTGGATGTGTGCTGGCTCGGCTCTGAATGCGGAGATGAGGGAAGGTAGCTGAGATCGTTCTCCGGTGCTTCTTCTTTTCAGACGTGACCTTTCGGTCTAAATGGCATCTTTTATGAGGCTTTCTTTGTCACGCTGGCAGAGACTTGTCTGCGCCGTTTTCTCCGAGGATGCACCTGGTAGCTGAAACTTTGTCTCTTTTGATTTCCTCCTTGCTAGTCCCTGAACAGCAGCTGCTTTAAAACAAGCAAAAAGAGAGGCCCTTGCACTGTTCGAGACGGCGTTGGCACCGTTTTCCACGTCTTTAATGTTCCATCGCCCTTTGTCCACGATACAATATGGCCACTGTAAAGCATGACGTTTTGCAATAATAAAGCACAAGTTCAATGACGTGACACTGGGCTAAAAGCGCAGCGCGGGCCGGACGAGCCAAACACATCCCTGCGTTTGTTTTGTGCACCCGCAGTCAATTAACAGCGAGGCCTGGTCGCCGCGCCTTGATAAGCCAATTAAATTTATGTCTTCTATTTTTTTCTATGGAGAGAAAAGAGCTGCGTTCTCTACTCGTCCGACGATTTTCTTACCATCACCTGGTGCTTTCCCCACAAGAGAGTAAACCAAGTGGGCCTGAATCATGCGGCTGTCATAGTCCCGCACCATTGTTTCTCGCTTCGATCACTCATTACCGGGATGTAACAAATCCTCGATTAGCTATGTTTTGTGTCATATTTTCATCCCCCGAGATTAAGCAGATGCTGCGATTGTAAAATCCAAACTGTAGGGCTACTCAAGACTGAAAGAGAGACGGACACTTGGTTGCAAGAGAGGGGAAGAAAAAAGCTTTGGGCACATCTTCAGAGGAATAAAACATCTAGGAGCCATAAACAGACTTCAACCTGCTCTATTTCAGCCTTTGTGTTGTTTGTGAATAATTAATGTTAATAGGGACAGGTTTGTATACTTTGAATGCAGGACCACAGGTGCGGAATGACAGGATGAATAACCGGCCCTGATTTTTGCCAGAGCTCGAGGGCTCTTGTCCAGGGTCTCCAAGCTGATGGAAAATATTGTCATGTCTTTGATTCGCAGCATTACTTTCACCGAGAACAAAGCCTGGTGATGAAAAGCTTATGTTGGAGTGAAACGGGCGATGACGGTGGCCGCTTCAGAGTCCTGAAAGAAAGAGAAAGGGGCCGAGTCAATGGCAATGCGCGCTTCTGGTTTTGTGCGCAAGTGCTCCATCTAACTCAAATAAAGGAGCCTTTCCAACTTTTAAAGGACCACTTTTTGCCTTTAATAAAGGCTAGACGGCTGTAGCCATTAAGCATATGGTGCTAAGGCGCTGGTCTTTTGTCCCCGTAAAGCCCTTGAGATACTAACTTGTGTTCCTTCCTGGATATTTAACTTCTCAAAAGCTCTAACTTTATGCGCTGGCAACAAGTGGCTCCGGGGCGCACGAACAGCTTTCCCAATTGAGAAAGCAGGGTGGCAAATACAGAAGACCGAGTGGATAAATTATTACCTCTGGACTGTATTTCTTTGTGGCGGCGCCTGGTGTACATTTAAGAAAAATTATTTTCCATTTTTGACCGCAGAGTGGAGAATTTAAAGGGGTCGACGTGTTATTTTGGCGCATGAATATTACTAACAGTACACGCAGAGACTGGAGCTGAAACGAGCGGAGTAATTTCAACTGTCTTACAGCGCTAGAGTCAAATAAGACGAGTCACACAGAAATGGCACTTTAGCAGCCGCCTGTGATAAACTGTATTTGTCAGAGTAGTGCATTAGATGGCGCTGTACAATGAGCCGCCAATTCCAGTTAGAAGCTGTAACTAAATAAACTCGAATCCAAAAACCTCCTTGCGAACGTCCCGTTTAACTCACACTTTAGGTATTAACCCTGCAGTTGGTTTCGTCGGGTTCGTGCGTAAAAGGGTGCCTTTGCTGTTTGGTTTTACTGCGCAATGGTGCGTTTACTGCTCAGCCGAAAAGGACAATGCTCATGTGAGTCCATGAAAATATTTACGAGAAGTATCTGAATAATAAACTGTAGCGATCCACCTGGTGGAGGCAGCTGATATTGACCTCGGTGTGATTTCAGGTGTCTTTCGTAAGACGATGCATCACACAACGTACTTGGAATGCAGTCACCAACCGAAGAGACACAATGAAGAGTTTTAAAGTGACCTTTTGCTTGAATTTTTATGTTTTACAAACTCACGTGTCTAATCTGAAGCAAAGCACGTGTTAATTTTTTTTTTCAAAAACAGCGTAAAAGCGCATTTGATGGGAGCTGTGGGTATCTC